CAAAATATAAATATAATTTACCTCTTACTTAGAGTTTTTTCTTATATATGTATGTGCTTTTATATATGGTATATGGGTAAAATTAAACACTATTATTTTCATGTTTCCCACTCCATGGAGCTCAGTCAAGCTGAACATGCTGAAGATTTGCTATTCCTGAATTTGTGCTGACCAAATTCAATATCGAATGCAAATGGAGCAATTGAAAAGGCTAGGGGCCAATTAGGATGGCATTAAATTGAGTTGAAAATACACTTGTGCATAGGCAAACATGTTACACACACACACACCCACACACACATACATATATCGAGAGGGAGCAATGGAGGCAGCCAGCATAATTATTGTTATCCTTGTGCTTATCGGGGCATAGGGCAGAGGGCACCAAAGACAATCACGAACAAAACAATTTGATAATTAATCGTTTCGAACTCCCGCTTCCAGCTAAATGTGTACACAAACACACACACACACAAGCATGTGGCACATGTGTATGTGTGTGTGTGTGTGTACACAGCGTAATCACGTCATATCATTTATATCGCATAGTTGAGCGTGCGTGCGTGTGTGTGTGTGTGTGTGTGACCGGAACCGGAAGCGGCAAAAATGATTGTCCCGAATGGCGTTTGCTGTTCTTCTTGTTGTTATTGTTGTTGTTAATGATGCCGTTAGCTGGCAAAAACAGTTATCAGATAATGTACATGTTGCCTCATCTAGTGTATATATGTACATATGTATATACATATGTATGTATGTATGTATGCATTCATGTATGCGATGCCCTGTGTAGTGTCATCTTTCCGTTGCGGCCGCAGATATCTGTTAAAACAGGCGTAAATATAATAAATAATCCTTAGCAGATAACGTCGCACACTGGCCCCGTTAATTATGTGGCTAACTGTCTGTTAACCCCATTAATGCTCAACAGCTCAGTTACCCAAATTCGATTGCACAAATTGTTTATGGGATTCGATTTGTCAACTTTTGAATTATCTCAGCTCTCGACTCGACTCGACAAGTGCAATAAAAATAAAAAAGGATTTGCAAATCATTTTCATTTGAGTTCATAAACCAAATTATAAAGCCAACTTATATCTGTATATACTGCATATACATGCATAGATGTGTCTGTGTGTTTCTGCATGCATGACTAAATATTTCAAATTTATTTTATATCCACTTATTCAGAGTGCTTATGATATTCATTTGTAAAGTTTGTTTATTTTTTTTATGGGATGAGATTTAATAGAGAATTTATTTTTACTTAATACCCTCTAGGCAATTGACAGCTCAGGTATATTGGTTTTGTGAAAGAGTGTGTAACAGATATTGTAAGGTATATATATATCTTTGAGCAGGAAATCGATATCTTTCCCATCTACTGCGAATATCCCCTTTAGAACTCTAGAGTTTTATGCTTCGACAAATATCTTTGCAATTATTCATTATCTTTGCGACGATTGTAATATCAGCTCTATGCAGCTTTCAGGATATTTCCCACTCCTTCACACCCCCCTGTATCACATATATAGTATACATATCGCATAAAGCATCTGCATCTATAATATTCCACTAATATTCGCAACTGTACTTGACTTATTGGCATTTCTAGACTACAATGGAGAGGCCGTAGCACACACTCGTCCCGGAATCCAAATGGGAGGCATATTGAAACGCTTGTCAACTAATTGAGTTACACTCGAATATACAAAATGCTTCAGAATGATTATGACAACGTGTGGGCTGCTGTCTGTCGTCAACGTTGTTCCTCGAAGCTGCATGTGTGTGTGTTTCTCACTCTCTGTCTATCTGTCTGTCTGGCTGTCCGTCTATCCGTCTGTCTGTGGCCATGTTGCTTGGCAACTGCATAGGTACATGTGGCCGAAAGACTTATGATTCGGGGCGAGCATTGTCAAACAATTACATGACTTTACAATTAATTTGTCCTTACAATATGATAACAGTTCAAGAGTGACAATCAAATGGGGCATCAGAGCAAGCAGCAGCTGCTGCAGACAGAGAGACAGACAGACAGACAGAGAGAGAGAGAGAGAGAGAGAGAGAGAGAGAGAGAGAGAGAGAGAGAGACGAGACCAAGATGTATCCGGATTGTCAGCCCAGCCGCATGCTCATGTAAATGTAAATGAAATTTTAAAGAGCCTGAGTCAGGAGTCTGAAAATGAAATGTTGCAGCGACAGAAAGTGAGTGAGAGAGATAGAGAGAGAGAGGGAGAGAGAGAGAGAGAGAGGTGCAGTGGCATTAGTGATGACTTCCTGACTGCGGCTGCCCATGGAGTTGTCCAAGCTGCTGTCAATGTCTGTAAAGGCAGAGAAGAAGTGGTCAGAGAGCGAAGAAGAGAGAGAGATAGAACGAGAGAGAGAGAGAGAGAGATAGAGAGAGTTGCAGCTGGTGTTGGTATATCAACGGGACTGGCACTCAAGAGCCGTTGTCCTTGCTTTCAGATCAACAGCTTACAAGCAAGCAGCAGCCTGACGGAGAGGGCAGATGCCGGGTGCGGCAGTGCGAGAGTGAGAGAGTGAGAGCGAACGAAAGTTGTGTTGTAATCTAATCAAATGACAATATACTTGGGCTCTTGCTATGCCAATGCAATCGTTGGGCATTAGCCGAGCCAACTGCCGCTGACAAGGCTCGCATGCTATGTGTGTGTGAGTGTGAGTGTGTGTGTCGTATGTGTGTGTGTGTCTCTTTCGTATTTGTTCTCGTTGTCTCTGTTTATTGTTTGCCTCTGTCACGCTCTGTCTAAGCTTCAATTTAAATGTCATTTATTTTAAATGTAATAACTATTTCAGCATGCACTCAGTCAGGCAGTCAGTCTGCCGTCCGTCCGTCCGTCGGCCAGTCTGCTAGCCAGTCCGTCCGTTAGTCGGCGCCGGGCTGTCTCTTGTCGTTTGCCTGATTGCAAAAATGATTGCATGTAATCTCTCATACGACACATTGGCCACGAGTGTTTCGTGTTTGCATTACAGATTTGTTACGCCCGGCCTGTTGTTATGGATTCCGTAATACAATCAATCATTGTTCATTCCTCCATCCACTCTATCGCTCTATCGCTCCATCGCCTAATCCTTGTTACACACACACACGCACACGCCACTATCAGATCTACATACGTTTTACACACACACACACACTCACACACACACACACTCACACGTGTGTAGTAATTCCTCACTCGAGTGATAACTGCTGCTCGTTTTCTAACCACTTTCCATGATTATTCACTTATCCATAATATTTCCCTGCTAGCTGCAAAATTCACTCATATGTACATACATACACATATGTATGTAATTAAGAATACATACATACGTATGTATATATGTATGCACATATATGGACAGTAGAACTCGAACTGATGTCTTTATATCAGAACAAAAACTCATCTGCATATGTATGCATTATAAGTATACTATGTACACACATACATACAACTGATGTAAATACATCAGTTCGAGTTCATCTGTTCTTAAAGCTCAGATTCAAACATACATACATACATATGTACATATGTGTGTACATGCATGCAATACAAATGTATGAACATATTGAATGTATGTATATTGGAGAATGGGTACAATTTATTGGTTGAGTCTCTCCAAGATATAATCCAATGAAATTAACATTTTATTTTTGGGTAAAATATATGTACATATCAGAAATATATACAGTAGAATCCGGTTTTAACGACACTCAAGGTACCGTCGTTATACACGGAAGGCGCTATAACCGTATAAGTTTGCTCATAAAAGTTTGTCTGGGGAACAGAATTTTCGTCGCTATAACCGTACAGACGCTATAAGCTAAGTCGTTATAACCGGATTCTACTCTATATGTATGTATATATGTACATACATGCATTTGTACGTCGAATTTATCGTGAAACACGTTATACACTGAACAAACTTTTCATATTCGAAAAATTAGTTCGAAATGGAATCGGAGTATGCAATGGGTTAGCAGTTTCTTGACAGCTTACAAAATTAACCTCCCCAAAAGGATGATCCTATAGGATATTAATAGATATAAAAACAGAATT